TCTAGGGCCCTCTGTTCCTTTAAGAGTACGAGGTTATACTTTATTCTGCTTTTAATTCTGTATTCAGTTTTTAACTTCATACCATTTAAAATTTGAGGTGACCTGAAGCCATCAAAGATTTCCACTAATTTTTTTCGGTGGTGTAGACAGCAGTGACAGAATTGGCTTTTTTCTCTGTTGCCGGGGCAAAAGGAGATAGGAGTGCTATTCCAAAGCCTTAGGGCTTTTCCTGTTTGATTACCAGCACATTTTAATAAGCACTTCAATGGGCCTGACTTTGAAAAGAGCAGGAGCTTGCTTTTCTGCCAAACTTTATCAAATTTGACATGCAGTTTGACATACTGCAACTTGAATGTAGATATGACTAGTTGGGTGCTCAGGAGGTCATTTGCCTGTGCAGGCATGCCCATTAAGAAAACATGTGACTGAAGGGTGTTTTCCAGCCACCAAAGGGCAAATGCTGTCATAAACTGAACTTCCACAGCTCTCTGTTAACAATGGCAGTGGAGTATTTGCTCAGTGCTTTGCTGCCCATACTCTTTTGTTTTATTCTTACAGTAACTGCATAGTGGTGATACTACTTTTAATTTCACCCTCCTATTTTCCATTTTAATGTGTTTTGGCTCTAGTGCCTTGTTTTAGTTCCCTTTCCAACGGCTGCCTGGCACAATTTCTGAATTGAGTTTCCTTGCCTCATCAGTAGGCTTTGACTCTTGCTTGGATACTAAATATTCCAAATAGGACAGGCTACTCCTGTCATTTTAGCAACGTGGCAGTCATCCTGTAGTCTCCCTGTTGCTTCTGTTCTTGCTTCTAATGTCTTTTTTGAGATATTTGCTGATTCAGTTAATTAGTTTTTTTCCAAAGGATTTCCCCCTGTGTTGAGAATGCAAATCTTGCAATTTGAACTTTAAAAGAAATTTGACACCCAAAGTATCCACATGTTTAAGTCCTTGAACATGTTAAACACAAAAGCAATATTTTATACTATTCCCTTCCCTAAGTGATTCTTTGATTCCAGACTATCATCATTCTGTAGGAGTAGAGGTCCTGAGCCATCGTTGGCCCCCTGCATTATCTTTCCAGCAACAACTGACTCTGAGCTGTCTGCCAGCTTTCTCATGAAGGAGGCATTACAGGGCATCTTGCAACTCTCTCCAGACCCTTTCAGATGTGCAAGCAGTAGCTTGTAACCAAGCCGTATCCTCACATATCAACAATGTGGTGGCCAGTTAGATCAGGATAAACTAAATCTTAATTTAGTCCAGAATTTTAAAGCTGCCTTTACAAATAATATATATTAATTTTATAAATAGTCCATATTTATCCCTTACATACAAGACAATTTTATTTTCCAAATTCTACTGAATTTACTTGTAAGATTTGACATATAATGCTTTTCTTTTTGTTTCATAAACTTCAGTTTCACAGTCCTTCTTGGTTTCACAAAGCAACTTAAAACCTGCAGTATTTGCTCAGTGTTTCTGAGGGTTATCTGGAGCTTTGTGCATTGTTAATGAATGACCCTGATTTACATTCGTGTCGTGCTGGAGTATTTGCAACAGGATATCCTGCATAACAAATGACATATGGTGATTTTTATAGACCAAAGATGGAGCAGCTATAGGGATTCTTTCCTAGAGTTGTCTTTTCCAAGACTTCAGTCTCTGATAAACCTCTTATTTTGGTCTGAGCACACTAAACTCGCTTTAAAATAAAAAAAGATAAGTATGAGAATCTACTGGCCCATTCATAAATATTATGTTTTCAAGAAACAATGCAGTCTTTCTCTTAGATTTGCTAACTAGCTCCACCTTCTGGGGAATGGGCATCCTTCACTAATTGTGAACAAGATTTTTCAGCATGGGCAAGTAGGGGATTCTTATGGATAACTTAATCACATGAGTGTATAGTTTTACCTTCTTTCCTTTTGGCAAGTACAATTCTATTTATATTCTGTAGTAAAATAGTTTAGCCTTCCTCAGTCATCAGGATAAGGTTTCCTACAAACAAAATTTTTCTTGTTTTCAGCAAAGAAAAATACATGCGTAAGTAGAGCTCTGTATTCTTTGGGACATTAAATACTCAGTAGGATTTATTTTTAATATATTTAGCATGCATGTCGAATGAAAAAATGGCCTTGAGAATTTCAAATATTTGAATTCCTTCTTAATGCAACTATTACTGAAAAAAATTATTTATGTTAGTAAGTTAGTATTCCAAACATGTCGTCTCCTCCAAAAAACCCTTGTGAGAAAGTGATCTTGAAACTACTACAAGGTATCTGCAAAATAATTTGGAAAATCATAATAGAAAGTAGTTATCAGTTGTTTACTGCCAACCTGGAAGGCTGCATGAAGTAGAATCCACTTATATTTGTTCTGGGTCCGGTATTATTCAATATTTTCATTACTGACTTGGCTTATGAAATATGGATGATGCTTATAAAATTTGCAGATGCTTAAAGCTGGGAGAGGCTTTAAGCACTATGGGAACAGGCTTAGAATGGATCTTGATGAAATGGAGCACTGAAATATTAGGATGCAGTTCAGTAAGGACAAGTACAAAGTTATGTTCCTAGAGAAGCAGAAATGCACAGTGCAGATTGGTTAAGTGGCAGCTCGGTAGAAACAGATATAAGCGTGACAGGACTTGTGGCCACTGTGTTGATCCCCTCTGTTATGAAAAAGAGTGTGAGTAAAGCTCTTCAGCCCTATCCACATAACTTGAAATTGTAATAGCAGGTTCATGAAGTGTGCCTAGTTCTAGAAGTTCAGCTTTTTCTCTCTTGTCCTGGCTGTCAGTGTACTTGCAAGATCCTTGGCTGTGTCTGTATTCAGCTCTGCTTTCCCATGCAAGTGGAACAGATGTCTATTAGCTGTGCCTTCAGGTCTACTTTAGAGTGGCCAGGTATGATTTTTTTCATTATTTGCTCAAGTCAGAAGCAGATAACAAACTCTATCCTTATCACATACAGCCCTGTTCACTGGTTCAGTATGCATTACATCTTTTGATCTTATTCTGCTGCAGTTGCTTTTGTTGGCCTTTATTTATTGATTAATAAATGACTATGATTTGAGACTTGAGAGTTTAGATTGTCTGCTCTGTCTAGCCTGACATCTAGTACGTCACACCTTGTTGTCTACCTTATTTCTAAATTTGACTGTCTCTCAGCAGCCTCCGGCTTTTGGTTGTGCTTTTCCTTTTATTCCCTAGAATAAACATCCCTGTTAGTACTTGTTATTTTCTCCTCATGAAGAGGGGAAATCAAGTTGCTGCTCAGCCTTTTTCATAGGCTTAAGGAGATTAAACTCTAAATCTTGGTAGCTCTCCTCTGCAAGCTCTCCATTTTTTTCAGCAGTCTCTTTAAAATGTGTACACCAGACCCTTGGCATGTGGTGTATCAGTACTCTCTTAGTCAATGGCATGTATAAAATCACCTCTTTTTGCTGGAGCGTGAAACTGGGGATATGTTTTGTTCACGATGGCTCTAACTTCATAACTGCTGTTTTCCAGGAAATGGTTCTTCAGTCTGTATTACTCACATTTAAATATGTATGACTATGTTAAAACATGCACTGTCAGCCCACAAAGACATTATTTGCAAAGGAACCCAAGTTCTCTGTGACTCCTCTGTCCTTATTTCTATTTCATCTTCCCTGCACCTTACTTTTTTTTTTCAGTTTCTCCTGGCTTTCAAAGTTCTCTCCAATCTTCTTGGCTACAGTTTTATTGATCTACATATTTTTCTGGAGCATAGACAAGTTGACTTTGCAACAGGCAGCTATGTCTTCCTGCTTAAAGAACTTCTTCAGTCCTAATGAGTCTTTCATTGGCCTGACTCAGAATGTTACCTGAAACAACGTGCTGTTATCTTCCACATAATTACAATTTAAATGGAACAGATTTTAATTATCATTGATTCTTAATTACACTAATCTACAGAAAATATGAGTCAGTCATGGACTGTATTAAGTCAGTTACACTCCCTATTTTTATATAGATTTTTCTGGAGTGTTGGATTTCTCTTTCATTTTAAACTATAACAATGAAACCGAGATGTACATTCTGAAGGAGGGTGGTTTGGTTTGTTTTTTTTTTTTTTATTATTTGCTCAATTTAGAGGGGTAGGTAAAATCATATGCAACTACAACGAAGGTCTGATTTTATTAAATCCTGAAAAATTCAGGAACATCTTGGGTAATTGCACAACTTTGAGTAAGATGTTCTGATTTTCCTAGTTACTGCTTTGTTCCATTTGTAATGTATTAAAGAGTCCCATTTTTCAAGCATTTCAATAGCTTATTTTTTTTCTGATATTCCTAGCATATATTTTAACAGAGCAAAACCTTACAAAATAGTTCTAAATCTCTCTGCTCGAAGTAGCTAAAAAAGTAATGAGTTCAATATGTCTAAATATTTAAAGAGAACAATATAGAGAGAAGCTAAAAAGAAAAAGACATGTGACCTGAAGGTTAGTATTTTTCCAGAGTATACATTAAACAGATAGTATCCTTCCAGATAATCTATTTGTTCTTCTGTTTTGCCTTCCAGCACCCACTTTTTCTTAAATATAGGCTCTTCCCCCTTTTGTTTTGGATAGTACTCAATTTGTTTAGATAGCAAGTGCTGGAAAGAACAGTAGATCTTCATCAGCACTGTATTCATCTTGTACTAAATGGTTTTTCACAAGTATGCCCGTATGCTCTGAGCCTTTAATGCACGTTTTACGGAGAAATTTGCTCCATTAAAAAGTCATTGTTTCAGGATATAGTTGGTTTCAGGCCACGGATTTAGCCATGGTCTTGGTGGTAAGCTGGAGTCCTACCTCTAAGCATATTCTCTGGTGGTGTTTGCTGTACCACAGTGGTTAGGATACAGTTGCAGGGCCGTTTTAAAGTGTAGGATGATCTACACAGCCCCTGTTACATTTCTCCATTCTGAAAAGAATTTTCACTGCAAGTTTTCTGATTTGGAACGAATGACCTGTCTTGTTCTAGGTGACTGGTATGAACAGCTTTATCCCCTGGTGATTACACTGAAGGACTGCATGGGAGAGGTGGTGACCAGGGCGAAGCAGTCGATGGCATTTGTTCTGCTTCAGGAACTTGCCTGTGGTTTGCCACAATGTTTGATGCTGACCCTGAGAAGAGACATCGTCTTTAGTCAAGCAGTAGGTTGTCTCGTGTCACTTATCTCCTACTGTTGCTAGAATTAAGTGTACTATTCATGCCAGTGTTTGTGATTTTCTTTTTTGTTCTTTTTCCAATTAACGCAACTTTTTCATATATTTTTCGTTACATTCACTGAAGTATTTTATAATGTAATAGAGAAATTAATACTAACTGGAAATCCATAGAAACCATATCACTGAGTCAGAGAAGTAGATCCACGACGGACTGGAGAACATTACCTAATCTTCCTTTTGCACAAAGAAGGATCCATAAAACTATTTTTAGTCTTCCTAAATTATATGCCAGTATCCTCACTCATAGGTGAAGTTCTCAAATCTAGCCTTTGAATATTCCTTGCTGCTATTTAAACTAGGTGGTTTGTTGGGGGTTTTTTGTTGTTTTTTTGTTTGGGGTTTTTTTTTCTCCTGGTCACCTTGGAAATGAAGAACAACTTATTTGTTTTCAGTTTGTAGAAGTATTTTGTTTGAAGTGTATCAGTATTTCTCTTCTCAGACTTGTCTTCTCTTGGTAAATAACTGAAGTTATTTTGATCTTCTCCCGTAGATCATGTTTTCCAGACAGATTTTTCTCTAAATGATTCATCTAATTTCTCCCTTAAGTTATTTGTTTTTCCTAACATAATTAAAGAGTTCGGGTGCAACTGCCAAGGAGATTCAGTTGCATTAGGTGCCTAACTGCTTTCCAATCCAGCATAAATCACAGCCTTATGTGTTTATGGCCTGCCAACTGAGGTTCTGGTCTCGTTTATGTCAGTGTAAATAACACACAACCCCACAAAACAAATGAAGCTTATCTAATGTAAAATAAGGGAATATTTCACTGGTTTTTACACCAAAAAAACCCGCCTCAATAACATTAATATGAAATTATGTGAATTATGTGTGTAGTCAATAAACAGAAATATCTGTGCCGTTTTCTCAAATATCCAAATATTATTTCTGTTGTGTATAGTGATAGCAAGCCTCGTTGTAACTGTGTTATAACAGTACATCTGCTAATTTCACTTTTTTTTATTGTCTTGATAGCTCGCTGGATTGGTCTGTGGGTTTATAATCAAATTGCACACAGGTTTACATGATCAAGGATTTTTACAACAGCTTCATACTGTTGGATTGCTTGTGCAATATGAAGGACTCCTTAGTACTTATAGTAAGTATCGTTCTTGGACAAAGTTCCTTATGTATCCAGACCAGAAGTTCACCCAGGAGGTTCTTAGTTTAACCTCTGTTCTGCTTCCAGTAATTTGGCTTATTGAATCAACAAATATTATCCCTAGTATACAGTTGACTTCCATACAATAGCACAGTTGAACTAATTGATAGTGTTGTCAATTCTATATCAAAAATTACTCATTCTCAATTTCTCTGAGAACCCTAGTTGCTAATTAATGCGTGCGGAGTGCTGAACTACATTATCTTAAATACAGGAGACTTCTCCCTCAGTACGTGGAACTTTTGGTTTTAATAAAATCTGTCTCAGTTGAATAGGTATTTGGTCTGACCCAAAATAGCAGGTTTATAATGCTAACCCAAACAGCAGATTTAAAGTCACTCACTCTGTTGGCCTCTGCCCTGATCACTCCAGTACTGGGGATGTGAAGATAGCTTGAAAACTGTTTAATTCCTACTTTGTTACAGGTGCCATCATTTGATAGGTATTGAAAAAGGACACTTAGAGGGAGAAATGGCCGACTGTTTCAAAATGCTTTGAACTACATGTATTGGAATCCTTCCCCAAATTGAGATTTTGACCAAAGTAGAGGAATTTAGCATTTGTGCAGGTCTTTAATGCACAGGCAATTGCAGATCCTCACTTGGAAATTGCTGTCAGGCTCCCTTTTGCACAATACTCGTTGTTATTCTCAAAACCTTTGTCCTCCATCAGCAGGGCAGTCTTTAAAAACACTTTCAGAAGAGACAAAAATGGCTTTTCTGGGGTTATTCTATGCACATATAGAGCAGGCTGATTTTCAGAGGTGCTTAGTACTTACAGTTATCATTTAGGCCACAGAGAATTGTCAGCAGTCCTAAAAATCAGTGTGCTTTTATGTAGGTTACTTTAATGTGGATTTAGGGCAGTGATTTTTAGATGCACAGACTGGAAAATATAAACCCTGTATTTCTTTAACTTATTCAGTGACTGATCAGGCTACTCTGTTAATAACATCTATAATCTTTCCAAATAGGTGAAGAAGCAGGGATGCTGGAAGACATGGCTGTGGGAATTTCAGATTTGCAGAAAGTAATGTTTAAAGTCATTGAAGCCAAATCAGAAGATTTTTTGCCTATTATAACTGGAAGACGGTAAGAACTTTGTATCCTGAAGCCCATGGCATCTGTAGCACGTGAAAACCCAGATAATGGTTTTCTCCTTGCTGAATTCTATTATATGGAGAGTGCAGTAGTTTTACTTTTCATGAGGTGAATGCAGATGTAATGAGGTAGTAGGGATTTGTAAAGCTAGTAGTAATATTGGGCTCTGGGTTACTTTCCTCATGAAAAGCTAGAAGTTTCAATTATTAATACAAATTAATCAAAACAGTGTCTGGGTTGTTCAGAGTTTCTGTTGCATTTTTCATATATATATATATATATATATATATATATATATATATATACACACACTGAATCAAAATGACAAGGTCAATATTTACAAAAGTGGCCTCTAACTGAAGAAACCTTGGTTCTGATGCGTCCAGCACTTGTATTTCAATGTGACAAATGAAATTACATTTGTTAAGAGTTAGACCTTGATTTGTCTTAAGATAGAAACTGAAAAACTTGGATGCCAAAACTTAGTGGTCGCTTTTGAGAAATGAAGCCTGTCTTAGTTGCTGAAGATCACACAGGACATACACAACCTCAGAAATCCTTGCATAAAACCACTAATACACTATGCATCTGTCACAGTATAACCCCAGCTGGCATTGAAGCGCCACACAGCCGCTTGCTCACTCCCCCCACCAGTGGGATGGGGGAGAGAATCGGGGGGGCGGGGGGAGAATGAAAGTAAAACTTGTGGGCTGAGATAAAAACAGTTTAATAGGACAGAAAAGGAAGAAAATCATAGTAAAAATAATAATATGGTGGTAATAATAATAAAAGAATTAGAATATACAATGTGAAGCATAATGGGATAATTAGAATATACAATCGTGAAGCACAACGCAATTGCTTAACACTCACCGACAAATGACCAGTCAGTTCCCAAGCATGGCCCCCGACCAGCTTTTCCCCCAGTTTATATACTGGACATGACATCATACGGAATATCCCTTTGGCCAGTTCGGGTCAGCTCTCCTGGCTGTGTCCCCTCCCAGCTTCTTGTGCCACTCCAGCCTTCTCACTGGCAGGGCATGAGAAGCTAAAAATTCCTTGACTTAGTATAAATAGTACTTAGCAACAACTGAAAACATCAGTGTGTTGTCAACATTATTCTCTTACTAAATCCAAAACACAGCTACTAGCAAGAAAATTAACTCTATCCCAGCCAAAACTAGGACAGCATCTCACATAAGCACTGCTGAATATCAGGACATAAACTGCAATACTTCATTAATTGTGGCTACAAGAGGGTTAACAAGATTGTTACATAGGAGAAATGGGTTTTTCATCTTCATTATTATTCTAGTCTAGAAGCTACAAATGTTTTTACTTTTGTAGAAATCACTTCCTTAATAGTATCATTATTTTTAAGATGACTCTAAATTCAGCTAAAAGCAGCAACTTTTAGAAAAGATATGTTTCCTCTGAAGGGGGCTTTCACTACTGATTTACTTAATTATTTTGGATGATTCACTCGCATCCTATGGACCTTCTGAGAAAGGATTAAAATAAATAACAGGAAGGCTGGAGTATGCTAGGCAACACATCGGGAATAATTAAGAATAATTATAGTGTGTAGATAAAACAGAAGAAACACATCTTTGTAAATCACAGCAGTCAAAAATCTTGAAAAATCCAGCAGCTACATTTACTGGCTTGCTGCCATTACTGCGGTACACTGAACTGTCACGCTAGGAGGTCCTGGGCTTGAAAGAGACTCGAGCTTTAAGCTGTCTCAGGTATCCTGGATTGATGGAGTAGTCAGTCTTCAGGAAGACGAGTTACTGCCCGTGATTGCTGTACTGTACTTACTGGCAGGTATTCACTGGATGGCATTGGTGTCAGACAAAAAAAAAAAGTAAAAATCTTAAAGGTTTATGTGGAGGAGCCCTATTCCTGTTAGAGCTGTGATGAGACAGCTGCTATCAAACAGCGCTGGAAGACAACCATGAAAAGAGAAGACAGTGGAAAATCTGGTTATTTTCTATTTAATGTTTAAAAACCTCACAATTTTTCGATCATTTTGGTTGTTACATGGTGTCACTCAATGAAATGAGGCTAAAAGACTGTGGAAATGCAAGACAGAAAATTAAGTTACAAACTCTTATCTTTCAGACACTCAGAGCATTCACTTGTAATTGTTTTTCTAGGGAAGTGCTAAAGGCTGAGATTCTATGCACACAAACAAATCGATCCAAAGAGCGTGGCATTGGCTAGCAGTGCCCTAGCGTGCTGATGCGGGTGGCTGACCCCCACCATCCAGGTGAAGTGAAGTTCTGTTCAGGCATTCAGGTTCTTTTATTATAGGCAGAAGTTGTTAACACTTACTTTTCTAAAATTCTTTGATAGAATGTATTTGATTGTGCACATGAACTTTGAGACATCATGGGGTTTGATACCATGTTTTCAACAAAGCCTGCAATGAGACTAGCACAGTTACCAACCCACTTATGGACCAGCCACATTGAAGTAACCTAAAAAGTTGTCACGGAGCTGAAAGAAGAGCTGGGTAAAAGCACCCTCCAGCTGAGATGCAGTAACTGACCATGTGTGCATTTTTTTTTTTTCTGTTGCAAAGCAAAGGTTCATGTAAATGACTTGCTTTGTATTTATTGCAATGAACTAAGAGTGTGTAATTTCAGAATTGGGGTAAATTTTAAAAGCCTTCTAACAAGACTGCAAGTGCTTGTGTATCTTCATGCGTGATCGTAACAAGTATTAGAAAATAAGGCAAAGTCAAAGAAAGGGATATTCTTAAGCAGTCCTGTTTTGGTGAAATCATATATAATCATTTAAATATATAATACTGAAATAATATTTGGATATATAATACCTAAATTTATACTATTTATTCTGAAAGAGATGATGATATATTATTTACTCCCTTAAACATGCTTGATTTCTCCACCCTGTTTTCCTGAGACATCATTAAATGTTAAAAAATATGTACTGATTTTTCCTTCTCATTGGAAAATGTAGTAGCCGCCTTATCCATTTCATGCCAAAATCACGTGATATCTCTGCACTGAGTATATCTATAAAACAGAGAAACCACATGCTGATAAAATTTACTGCTGTACTACTGTTTCTTGTTTAAGTAGAAGCATAGGACCTGTAAGATTTTTGGTAAATTAATGTCAAGTCCTCCAGATTTCAGTACTTCAAATTATTTTTCTTTCCCCACCCCACTTGACTCCATACCTTTCCTGGATTTTTTTAGACACAGCTTGGATCACCTTTTTCTTACATGATCACGAGTGGGTCCTTTCATTGTGCAGTTCTTGAAAGATTTAAAAAAGTTGCCAAGGATTATCTGTGAGACTTCAAAAAAAATGTTTAGAAAAAATTTAGAAAAATGGATAAGGGGAAGCTCTTAAATGGTACAGATGTTAATATGTCATGCCTAAAGGTCAGCTTTTCTCCATGTTCTTTCACACACTGAAATGTTTGTACTGATTTGGGGGTGTGAAATGTAGTGAGGTGTTTTGGTTGAGTAGTGTATGCTCTTTGAATCAAACCAACATTTCTTCTCAGCAGCTAGGAATGCTCACACGCAGGCTGAGAATGAATGCTGCTATGCAGAGATCATTTGTGTGGAGTTCTTTACTGTCATCCTTGCTAGCTCTCTATTTTCTTTACATGAGTAGATTAATTAAACAAAACACAAACCAAATAGACTTATCTGGGGAGTAGAATTTTTTTTTTTTCTTCCCCTCCAGGATGGGTATCCTCCATTCAAAACTGATAAACCCTCTCAGTAGGGAGCGCCTGGCATTTACTCAAAGATTACACACTAGTTCCATCCCATGCCAAAGCGTATGCTTGTTGCTCTAGCTGAATGTACATTTCAGTCACAAGTCTGTACTGGATCCATTTTATTTTGTTCTCAGATATATGGGCAGGACAGAGGCTCAAACATGATCACTAGTTCTTCTAAACTGAAGCTGTTTATCCAAAACACCTGCTCTGGGATAGTGCCACTCATCCCTCCAGCTTGCCAGGCATGTCAGAGCTACTGAAAAAAATGACCTTTTTCTTTAAAGTTTTCTGCCTTTTCTCCCCCAGATTCTACACGTGGGTAACCCAGAATGTATTTTAATTCTTTAGCAAGCACACAATTAGTTAAAATAAAGGTTTGGGAGACTTCATGATAGATTATTTTAGTACATGCAAACAGTTTTCCATCTTAAGTTTACATGCAAAAGTTGCATGACTTCCTAGACCTGCTTTTCTGTAGGTAGGATATAGATCTTCCTTCCCTCCTGTTGCTGTAATACTCTTCCTTCTTGGTGTTATACCAAATGTGCTCTGCAGGAGAGATTTCTGTCTTTGTTGTCAGCAGTCCCTCTTTACATGATTATAATGCCAAATCCTGGAGAGAAATGGATTCGCTTCTAGTCTATTATTTTTTTATTAGACTGATTGCTCTAATAACAGAAAGAATAAAATAATAAAAACAAAATTAACAGCATGCCATTGTTTCTGTTGTGGGGTCAGGCATCAATCCTCAAAGACAGATGAAATTCTACTTGAAGTTTCCATGTGATCAGAATTGGGACTGTCAGCCAGAGTTCCGTTTTTCATAAAGTCAGACCAAACACAAACGTAAAACCAGAACTGCTGTATATCATTTCCCTTGTCCTAAAATAGGATTCATGTTTGCATAAGGAGCCTTCAATTATTATCTTCATAGGCTCAGTTTTGTTATTGATGGTGCTTTCTATCCCCAGGGAGAAAATCCAGCCGCTGAAGAAAATGGGAATTTTGCTTTGGGTTTTTGTGAAAGGTTTTTGCTCATATTGTATTTAGAGTGGATACAGGATCAAGTTGTGACTTCTGAAAGGAAGTTGTTTTTGTAACTCAGCAAGAGGCATTTTAAGAGTCAAGGTGTTCTCATTAATATTTTGGTAGCAGAAGACTTTTTTACTGCTTTCGTCTTTAGTCTTATTTTCACTTCAGTAAAGAAGTCAGTATCAGAAGTGTATAATTATACGTACCTGCCTTTTTCCATATAGCTTGGTTATTTTCTTAGAACAAGCGAGCTGAATTGTCACATATTATGGTTCAACACAATGAAGGGGAAAAGGGGGAAACTGATTTATAAGTCTACGTGTTCGCTATAATTTTAGAAAGGTTATAATTTCAAGCAAACCAATCAATATTCCCATCCTTACTCTTCTTTTTATTTTTCCTAGTGAACATTACATTATAGAGGTCCAGCTTCCGGCAAAGATGTTTGAGTTGCTGCCACAAGAGATTAAAGAAGGAAAGCTACTTCGCATGTATCCAGTACTCTTTAATGTTGGAATCAATGAACAGCAAACACTTGCAGAGAGGTAAAAAAAAAAAATTTTAAAAAAAATTGTGTTTCATTTTCTAACCAAGTATGCTACTACAGGATATCTCTCAGGATTAAAAATAAATCTTTTTTGTTATTTGCTCTGGACCATCTCACATTGACTCGCTGTGTGTTTTTAAAAGTATTAAAAGAAATAAGCACAAGCTATGAAGCAATGCAAAATAATGAAAAAGTCCAAGTGAAGATATGACCATATGCAGGACTTTATTTCACACAGTCAACACCAAATTTCCTTTAAATACAGATCTAAAATGGATTTCTACTTCACAGATGTAGAAGTTTGTTCGTATACAGTACTTTGGCCTTTTCAAACACAAGTTTGAAAATTTTAATCTCTTACTATCTTAAAGGGAGTGTTGAAGATGCTAGACAAGTCATAAGCTAGAAAGAAATAATTTTTCTCAGCTTTTTAGGGCTTTTTTCCAGGGTTGAGGAGTGGTAGTTAATAACAAGGAATATGTTAGTAACATGTTTGTACAAACATGAAAGCTGATGGTAAAGTTCTGATGTGTTGATACTACACCTCTGAAAAGATTCCTTGAAACTAATTAATTAGTACAATAATAGTCAAAGTTTCACCAACCTAGTAATTTTCTCTTCCAAGAGAAAGGTATCTGTCGTTCGTGTTAAATTGCCAAATTTGTGCAATGCTAAAACAGCAAGGTAGACATCAACAATAAGATAGCTACATTTTTAATTTTTTTATTTTACTGCTTTTATTAACAGAGCATCCAAGAGACATAATACTTATCTTTAGATTGCAGTTTCTACAAACTCAAAACCGAAATCAAAAGTGTAGCTGGGGAAATAGTGGAAGACACAATAGGCAAGAAGTTAAGCACAACAGGAGTTTCACATCCTGTTCTTTGTGGACAACAGAGTAAAAGCAGTCTTTTAAGGAAGACTTCTAAGGAATGCCAACAGGTAGCTTTGTGGATGTTTATGGGAGACTTCTCTAGATATGCAAGGTGATGTGTGAGAAATTTTAGGTAGAAAATTGAAATGGGAGACATAGGCTGAATCATAAGACAGTTAAAACTGGCGTTTTACTGGTGAAACAGTTGAGTAGTTGGTTAGAGAACATTAAACATTCTTGAAAATGAAAATAGCTTATTCTTGATGCTATGAAGAAAGGAGAGGTGATGCTATGAGAGGAATGACATGGACAAAGTGATAGTGTACAAAACCAACAAAATCAGTGATGACAATTGTGGCTAGGACACGTCACATTTTTCTAGAATCAGAGAAAAAGAGTATGTGGTAACCAAGAAGCAAGTTTGTGACAGCTTACATAGGTGGGATACACTAGAAGGACTATATGTTACAAATGTCCTGAGGGAAAATTTGACAGGATTTAGAAACAGCCTGGGTATATGGGGACTTCTAGGTAGGGTGGCAGGAAGAGTGGTAGCATTGTTCACAGTGGTGATTTTATATTGTGCACAAAGAAAGCCTTGAATGAAAAATTAATATCTGTATATCTATAGATATAAATTATATATTCATATCTGTATTATCAAGCAAATAAATTTGGATTATTCCATGCAGAAACAGCTTTTCTGCATGCACTTACAGGTGTAAACATTAAACTTAATTCAAAATATTGCTTAACTCCTAAAGCTGCACATTTGTCTTTGAGATTGGAAAATGCATGTGCTTTTTGGGAATCTTTTTTTTTTTTATATATATATATAGGAAAATGAACATAAGGATGGAAATAGTTTTGTGAAAAATTTCTTGAAAATGATACTTTATTAGATGGAAACATCTCTTCAATAAAACACACAGTTGAGAACATATCTAATTTAAAAGAAATATTCTCATGTGACAGTGCAGTGAGGGCTACTGAGGAAGTAACGGAATCTTTTCCCTCTTTGGCCAATTTAAATATTTGATTCTCTTCTGCATGATGTAGCAGTACATTTGCTATTTTCTGATCTGTGTCCCCTTTTCTCTACCTGAATTTTCCACTTACCTGTCCATGCCTCGATTTCTGTACTCTTCTATTTCCTTTTCTGTCTTCCTTTTCTTCATTTCAAGGCTATTGTAAACATGAGTCAGAAAAGCTTGGCCCTAACTGCCCGAGGGGTATTCCTGTCTTACATTCATATCTCCCATAGCACAGGTATCAGGATATATATATTTTTTCTTAGCCTATGTGAAATTTGTAGGAGTTTTGATCTCAGAGAGAAAGATATTTGCTTGTACAGCTATAGTCAGTTCGTGGGCAAGCGTAATGGCATCCTGGTGTTGTCTGGGTTTTCTGTGAGTTGCAGGATAATGAGGGTTTGGGTGATGTGTTCCCAGCAGACGTGACTGCTGCAAGAAATCCTAGAACATGCTCCTGAGCCAGGTGCAGCACTGGTAGAGTGACGGCTGAGGTCTCTGTGCTGCAGCAAGCTTAAATGCAGACAACTGAAGCCAACTAGCCTGCGGGTCATAACTCTGTGAAACTTAATGGTGAAATCACTGCTCAACAGCAGAGAAATGGTCCTTTCATTAGTTTCAGATACAAGAAATCAACATAACTAACAGCTCAGGAACAGTGTAGCACAGAAAGGGCCCAGAGAAGTAATCAATTTGACTATTTATAGCAAATATTCTCAGAACAGAATAGAAATTAGTTCTTCTGGAGGTTTTCCACCTGACAGTTGCAGATCTTCTATCTTGTGTGGTTTAAATATATTCCAGCTGTGGTCGAAATTAATATGCCTAAGCAACAGCAGCAGTAAGTAGGAGTTGGTGTTCTCTGCCTGTAGTGCCATTCAAAATTCCCACAGAGTCCATGTGTTTATTCAGGATTGGTGAAGGGAAGAAGAATGTGTCCTTTACTGAATGTTTGTCTAGAAATGGATTACTTTGTTCATAAGTTTCTGGAAGAATTATCTGTGAGTGATGACCTCATTCCCAAATATTAGTTCCAAAGCACGTGAGAGATTAGCAACTGTATGTTTGACAAAATCTAGTACATTCAACACTAGGAAAAAAAAAAAAAAAAAAATCAAAGTTATTTCTCTATGTAAAGAAATAATTCTGAAGGATAATTTAGCTTGGTTTTGTGGGGGTTTTTTCATCATTTTATGGTGCTTTTTTATAGGTTTGGAGATACCACTTTGCAGGAAAACATTAACCAGGAAAACTTAGAACTTCTAAAAGAATATTACAAGCTGTTTACGGAAAAAATGCCTCCTGACTGTGAGTACAAAATAATGCACTATCCAAATGTCTTTGAAAATATTTAATAGGTGAAAGTAATATTAGCACAATATTAGCATGCAGCTTTTAGATTTAGGCCTTAGTCCCATAACTTGTTCCATAAAGTTAAGCACTTTGTGCCTGTACACAGCACACTGAAGCCAATAGTGACTGCAGGCCCAACACCACAGCAGAAACTGCGGGGAGAATGAGATAGAGTAATGATGAACTAAACAGCTTTTTTAAAGTATTAATATAATTTGCCTTTTAAGATTTCAAGTAGAGGGCAGTCCGTATCTACTGTATTTGTAAAGAAATACTTGGTGGGAATTTTCATCAGTTTCAGTCATTTCCTCCATTCTTATTTTGAAAATGTATTAAGATATGGCAAACCACTGAGAAATCTGCAGATGCAAATATGAGCAATGAGCCGCATCATGTCACTGATATGAATAACGTGGTTCCATTAAAATAGGCCCTAAATTCCGATTTTATAGAAATTTGGTATCAAACATTATTCTGTTACTCTGATTGTTGAAAACAAACACTGAAATTACCATTTGTATCAATCGAATCCTGTTAAAGTAGCCTAAAAGTTATTCCCAAATGTTGCAGATTTTACAGCCTGATTTTAAATGGCTTGGGTTTAGGTCTCTGCTCCTTCCCCTTGGGTGATGGGAGGGAGCAAATCTTTTGAATCTAAAGATCTACAGGGCATGTGTGTAACTCCTCGTGGTGTATACTGCTGGTTAAAGTCCCATGCAAAGCTGCTTACAAAGTTCTTACAGAACACCTCGTGTTGATTACTTTTGCAAATTATCCATTATGTGTATGCACTTGTAGATATATCTACTGTGTCACTGTATGTGTGTATGTGTGAATCTTTCATATCAGGATGATTTTTCATTTGTTAATAATTTTGACAGAAGTAAAAGCTCTGTTCCTAAACAGCAGGCAGTATGCTCATCCATCCACCCACAATTCTATAATTCTACAGAGAAACTCATGCAAGAAGTTAGCAATTAATTTAGGGAAATCCTGCCAAGGAAGCATCTTGAAAATCTAACCTCCTCTGGGGTTAGATCTAAGGTAGATCAGCTACCTCTGATTATATAAAAGCAAAAATTTGCTTGCAGATAGTATTTGGCTGCTTTTCATTAACAGAAACTAACTTTGTACTGTCTTCCTGAAGAAGGATTATTAGTGTGCCACAGAGTCTTCCTGGACTTCTTCCAGACTGTGCCGGCTTTTGAGAACTACACTTGGCTAATTCATCATGTCTTTTCTGGTCATTATTACCTTCTTGCTTTTTCTCTACCTCTAAGATCTGTGTTCTTTGTCCCAATTTTTACAGAACACAAATCACCTTCTGTTTCTTTTGCCCTTCCCAGTAGCTCCCTGCCACTATATGGAATCACTCTTTTGGCTTGGAGGAACGTGCCTTTTAAACCAGCTCCTTGGAGAAAAGTGAAGTTCTCCAAGTTGTTCAGGTGGAGGAGGACTTCAATTCCTCCCCTGTTCCCTTACCTTGGCACTCAAGTTCTTAGGAAGATAAACCTCCACCTAAGCTGACAGCAGCCCTGGTGCTGTCGCCAGGTGAGAGCTGTTCGGTATTGACGTCTCCTTGATGGTTTTGTCATGCTTTCCAGCTAGGTTCCTGTAGTGCCAAATCTGTGCTACAAAATAAATGCAGGACCTGGTTCACAAAGCTGTTAGTTACAAACAGTGCTCATAAAGCCAGGCAGAATTTGAGGACTCACAGCCTTGTTGCCCAAGCTGTTGCATCAACCATCCTTAGGCAGTCTCACTTGCCTGCTGCTTCGTTCATATATTCCATTTCAAAGAATTCAATTTTCCACTCCCTTAAAGGTATTGCCACCTTTGCTTTTAGTTTTTCTCTTATCTCTGGTAATTCCCATCGTCAGTAATATTCTAGCTTGCTTTCTATTCCCAATTATTAAAAGTCTTCAGCTGCTTATAACTCCATGTGCCAAACTGATTTTCTATCTTGTCACTCTGTCACTCACCCGTTTCTTAATCTCTTTAATTCTCTAATACAAAACTCTGAAAATAATAAATGACAATATACTCCCAGAAAGACTCCTATCAAAAATGTCAACCAAATGTAGTTCTGGTTTAGGCACCAGTACTGCTTTTTATAGAATAGCTAATGATAGTAAGGGTGCAAAAAATGTATGACTGTTGTTTAGTAGTATATAATCAATTGAGAAAAAACAGCTTAGAAAATTTAAACAGCTGAAAGCATAAAACCAGAAAAACCTATCATAGAGTCATCGTAGAATGGCTTGTGTTGGAAGGGACCTTAAAGATCACCTAGTTTCACCCCCCTGCCATGGCAGGGACATCTTCCACCAGCCCAGGTTGCCCAAAGCCCCATCCAACCTGGCCTGGAACCCTTCCAGGGAGGGGGCTGCCACAGCTGCTCTGGGAAACCTGTGCCAGTGTCTCACTACCCTCACAGGGAATTTGTTTTCCTTTTATCTAATCTAAATCTACCTTCTCATCTTAAAGCCATTATCCCCTGTCCTATCCCTACACCCCCTGATAAAGAGTCCCTCCCCACCTTTCCTGTAGCCCCTTTCATTACTGGCAGGCTGCTCTAAGGTCTCCCCGGAGCCTTCTCTTCCCCAGGCTGAACACCCCAACTCTCAGCCTGTCCTCACAGGGGGTGCTCCAGCCCCCTGAGCATCTTCTATAATATCATCATAATGCATGTAGCAGTACATGCATTTACAGCATAGAGTCTGAGTGTCTTTTGTACTTCCAGGCTTCTCCCCCTTACAATCTATAATAATTTGATGGTTTAAAACTGCTTTGTGTCACAAGGAATTTAAGCAATAGATCACATCCAGTCAAGATGAAGCTCATTTGGCAATATTATAAATGAGGACAATCTTGCTTTACCTATGGTGAAGTCATCTCTCTGAGATGATGCATTTTCTGCTGTCAACCAAAGGAAAACTGCTTTGAAGCAATAAAATGTTTACCTAGTGATACACTCTCATAATCGGGAAGCTTTTTTAGTGTACTCATTGTATGCTATGTGCTTTAAAGAAACAGATGCAGGATAAATATAATAGTCTCGCAGGTTGCAATGTATTTTCATATGCTCTGCATTATTGAATAGTATCATCAGGAATTGCAATACACAGATAAAACAATCCTCACTAGGATTATTAGAAAAGTAGTTTGAATGTACTTTTTCGCATTTTTTTTTCTTTTTGGCAGCACAGTACAAGTAAGGAAACTTAGATATTTTTAGAATAGTTCCTTTTGAGTATATTTAAATTACTTCTTACTATGAATCATGGATAAGGGAAACTACAGAATTCATTAGAAGTAAAAGCCTATTGATAAGAGGGATCATTCCAGTTGTGATCAGATTAGGAGAATGGATTTTTGACCTGCATTAGTAGTTGCCTCATTTTCACTCTTTGAATTGAATATTAATCTTGGCATTTGGGTTTGGGGCTTGGGTGGGTGGGTTTTTTTTTCCCCTTGCATGGAATATCCTACTTTTTCTGGTTGTAAATAACATGTCAATTTGGTTTAAATTTGTTCCAGATGGTTCTGAGCCTTTCTTTGGTGACAAATATTATTAAATTTATTTTTATTTCACTACAATAAGAACAAATAATTTTGAAATACAGATTTGGGTGGTTTCTACTGATTTTCAAAACTAATGAAGATAAAGGTAGCATTAGAACAAACCCCTCCTATATATGCACACATAACAGAAGAGCAAATTAAATTGCCTACCCTTGAATTCCTGCTAGACATCTGTGATTAATAATACTTCAGCTGCCATAACCAGGGCAAATAGGTAAAATTTTGGATTTCAGTAAACCTGACATTATTTTGTATTACAAAGTTAAAGTCCCATTTAATTTCAGACTGAGAAATATCTTTGTTAGATTTTTGGGGAGGTATTTAGTGCTGTTTAGCCCTTCTGTTATGTTATATTAGAAAATAAAGCATTTTAAAACTAAAATGAGATGTTCCATTTTGAAAACAAAGCAAAATATTTTGACTTAAAAATTTTAAAATCATCCAATCAAAGCAGGTTTTAACATGCTTAGTCATTTCTCTACTTATTTCCATTAAAAGTCTATAATAGTTGATGAATACAACTACAGCAGAGATTTGAAAGTTTTTGCCATCCATTTATAAGCTAAAAGTTGAAGACACTTCAATTTTCCATGGTGAAGTTCTTAGGGAGGATAACACAATACTTAGAAAGAAATAACGTTTGTTTATTCCCTAAATATTTAGCTGGTGCCTTCCATGCTATGTTCCCAAATAAGGCTGTAAATTATAGATATGTTCTTTACTATGAGCATTCCTTAGTTAGGACAGCCATATCATCAACCTTACCATAATGAGCAACCTTATAATCTTTTTTTTTTTTCCCTAGGTCTACCACATTTTCAAGAACAAAATGATTTAAAGGGATTGCTTGAAAATCTCCATCAAAATATCCAGGCCAAAAAGAGAAAGAATGTAGAAATCATGTGGCTGGCTGCGACGGTAAGCTCTCTTGTTTCAAATATCTCACATGACAAACTAATTTTCAGATGCCTGCTGCTATTGTAAGTGCAATGGATTTTAAGGATATGAATGGAAAACTCAACGATTAAAGTAGATACGCTGAAATGGCTTTCTAACATTTCCTTTCTGAAGGTCTCTCATCTCACTCATGACTATATCTCTTCTTCCTACACTTAAATTACAGATATTTTTCTAACTTTTTTCACTGGTAGAACTAGCTAGAATTCAAAGTGAGAGATGGCCTTGGTCACTACTTTGACTCCTACATCCTTCCAAGCCCTTTTCTCCAGATGTCCTAGACAGGCAGTCCGTGATCTGTGCTGCTGCCTGTTGTTTTTTTTTTTTTATTCCAGATGCAGGATATTTTCATTTCACTCAGTGAGTTGTGTAACAGGGTAAAAAAGGTTTGTTTCTTGTTTGGGGCATGTTTTTTCTTTAACTGCATCTGGGTTTAGGCTGAGGAATCCCTTAATCCACAGTATGCAGAGAATTAATTCCTTGGATGGTCACACATAGCTGTAAATATATCACCTCATGTGAGAGGGACGATACAGTATTCAGCTACAGCATGTAATTTTTTTGTTGTTGTTTTGTAAATCATATCCATTCTTTATAAAACTTGGTTATTCAAAATATCTTTCTTTTATTGTTTAGTATACATAAGCCTTGTGGTATGACTGAGGACATGATTACTTGCTCCGGCTTTTCTTTAATATTGCTGTCCTCAACTTTTGATTTTCTATAATTAAGGTACTTACATTTTATAAGTAAGTGTTTAATTGTATCAGTACAACTTCTAGTAAATCACGTTTTATATTTTTTTTTTTTGGCCAGTGTCACCATGACAGCTGCTGTAAGGGCACTGATAGCAACACAAAACAAGCTAGATACGCAAAGGGCAGACATTCAGACACAGGGGAGAACACAAAGAAAAATGTTTATCAAACAATAAATAATACTTTGCTTTATTCACATAATTTCTTTTTGTTTCGCTATTCTGTGGTTTTTGCAATGTTAAGAAAAAAAAAACAAACACACACACACCAAAAAAACAAAGGCAAAGCAACCCTTAGATGTTTATAAAGAGCTCATGCTTTTCATGAATGTGAAATTCAACCAGGTAATTGTCTTAGATTTAGAAAAGTATCCTTGGACAGGCCTGAGTCTTTGGTATCTACAGAAATTGAAGTAATACCTTGTGTTTTAGGGAACTTTCACATGCATATATTATTCAAGGCAAATAAATATTTGATACAAAATATTAATAAAATTTTCCACGACTTTTCATTAACAACAGAAACAAGACAATATTAACTATGTCTTTGTATTAATAACTGATGTAAATTTTTATATTCCTGATAACATTTTGCCCTTTGTCTAAGAAATATTATCACATGCTATTGCAGTATAAATCTGTTGTGAATAAAGATAAAAGCTTTTCTTGCAGTACCAGTTCTGCAGTTACTATGAAACATTGCTTTTTAAATAAGTAAAAGATAAATCAGTACAAGATACTGTAAAGTGAGCCTCAAAGAATATGACAGAATTGACTTTATATTTGGATATAGTAAGTTGTCTTTTGCCATATTACATGGGTAAATAGCATTCTTCAGACATACAAAGTGTTTCAGATTTTTCCTTCACGGTTTTATATTGCTCCTTACCTTACTCTAACCTTCTTAAATGAGTAGTTCTGGACCCATTGATCTAAAAACACTGTTATATGTTACATTTATTTATTGTAAAGGATGTGAGGATATCACTTTCTTACTGCAGTAGATGTATGGTATCACTTTGTTACTACAGTAGATGTATGAGATTCTATATGGGTATGCATATGTATCTGCACCTGCATGTAATCCATGTTGTAATAGGACTGAGAGTACATCTGCATTTTAAAAGTCAACTTTTGCAGATTGGCATCACAAACATATGTTACTTTAAATATAATGGGACAGAGATTTAAATGCTAAATACTTTTATTTCCTAAGCTCCACCCTTCACCTTCTGTCTTATTATCAGGAGAAATAATCAGAGTATTGATTTATTCTTGTTTTAGTCTTCATAGTTTTATATGTTTTTATCATACCTTCTTTAAACTTAATCGCAATCCTAATCATTTAAATATATGTTTGTAAGGGAGACTTTCTAAATCTCTAATAAATGTTAAGTCCGTTTCTCTTCCTCCTATATCTTCAGTGTATTTGGAGAAATGAGCAAAATTGAGGATAAAATTCAAGCTGGACACTAATCGTAAGATGTGTGTTCTAATTTGATGATATTTCTATATATTTGGTACTGTCCCTTATTACATTTCTAGAGCATCAGATCATTGTGTTTGCCCGTTTGAATTACTTGTTTAACTGCTGCTGCTTAGTGAACTGAATTATTCTAAGGATTTATCTGGGCCAGCTTATCAGGTTAACCTACATTTCTCCTTAAATCAGGGTCTAAGGATTTTTTAATTTGTTTATTTAAGTTAACAGATTGTTTTCTATTTAATTCACTTTGAAGTGACTGAGACATTTGTACTGAACTTCAATGCAAAAGCAGCTTGTGGTTATGGTCATTTGCTTGTTGTCTAGAATGCTTCTCGGTACAAAACTGACTAGCCAACACTTTATACATGTGCTGTCAGCCCAGATTTGGTGTTAAGTCTCCCTTCCCTGCAGCAGAGGCTATCACTCATCTAGAAAAATTACCTGTATTTTCTTATGACTCATTCACTTTGAATAGTCACAATGACTCATGGACTTCAGAAGAGACTACTGTAAAGAGAATTATTCTCTTCAATTAAGCGGTTAATTCACAGCATTATTTTTTTTTAAATTGTCTTATAGTACTTTATTTAAATCCCAGTAAAACCTTCCAAATTTTTAAAGAGATTTAAGCTTTAAAATTTTGAATTATAGAAGGGAAGAAACACTCACATGTTCTCCTTTACTATCCAATACTTCTTTAGGTTCAAAGTTAGAATCAATTCATTAATTCCCTGGATTAAAGTTTTGAGATCACCCTTTACCACAATATTACGAAGACCTTAAAGACTGTATTTTCTGAGTCACTGATTTTATAAGAATTTATGAGAATGTAATTAACAGATAAAGAAAGTACTTTATTTGCTGAAGTGATATTATGCAGATCATGTTCCAGTTTCATCCTGCAAGATCTCAAGTAAACACTTGATAGCCAAGCTGGGAAGTTCCTTAGAATGAAGCCTAACTCCTGTAACTTATTGCCTTGCCCTATTCTCATAATGATTTGGGGGTTTTTTAATACTGTTACAGCTATGATTGTTCAGGGGTAGGAGCAAGCAAAGCAAAGTATTACCTTTTCTTAGGACAAATTATGTCAGGGGAAAGTTAGACCCACACTTGGGTACACCACCTCTCTATCACAGAATGACAGAATTGTCTAGGTTGGAGAAGACCTTAAAGATCATCTATTCCAACCACTAACCTCACACTGACAGTTCCCAACTCCACCAGATCCCTCAGCGCTGGGTCAACCTGACTCTTGAACCCCTCCAGGGATGGGGACTTCCCCCCTGCCCTGGGCAGCCCATTCCAACACCCAACAACCCCTTCTGCAAAGAAATCCTTCCTGACAGTCTAAACTAGTCTAAACTTTCCCTGGCACAACTTGAGGCCATTCCCTCTTGTCCTATCACTTATTACTTGGTTCAAGAGACTCATCCCCAGCTCTCTGCACCCTCCTTTCAGGGAGCTGTAGAGGGCGATGAGGTCTCCCCTCAGCCTCCTCTTCTCCAGACTAAACCCCTCCAGTTTCCTCAGCCGTTCCTCCTACGACCTGTGCTCCAGACCCTGCACCAGCTCCGTTGCCCTTCTCTGGACACGCTCGAGTCACTCAATGGCATTTTTGTAGTGAGGGGCCCAAAACTGAACACAGGAATCGAGGGGCGGCCTCACCAGTGCCGAGTACAGGGGTCAGATCCCTTCCCTGTCCCTGCTGGCCACGCTATTGCTGACACAAGCCAGGATGCCATTGGCCTTCTTGGCCCCCTGGGCACACTGCTGGCTCCTGTTCAGCCGGCTGTCAATCACCCCCAGGTCCCTCTCTGACTGGCAGCTCTCCAGCCACTCCTCCCCAAGCCTGTAGCGCTGCTGGGGGTTGTTGTGGCCCAAGGGCAGCCCCCGGCATTTGGCCTTATGGAAACTCCTCCAGTTGGGCTCAGCCCATGGCTCCAGCCTGTCCAGGTCTCTCTGCAGAGCCTCCCTACCGTCGAGCAGATCAACACTCCCACCCAGCTGGGTGTCAGCTGCAAACTGACTGAGGGTGCACTCGATCCCCTTATCTAGATCATCCATAAAGATGTTAAACAGGAGTGGCCCCAACACCGAACCCTGGGGGACACCACTCGTGACCGGTCGCCAACTGGATTTAACCCCATTCACCACAACTCTTTGGGGCCGGCCATCCAGACAGTTTTTTACCTAGCAAAGCGTGTGCCCATCCAAGCCATGAGCAGTCAGTTTCACCAGGAGAATGCTGTGGGAAACAGTGTCAAAGGCCTTACTGAAGTCAAGGTAGACAACATCCACAGCCTCATCCAATAAGTTCAGTTTTTTTCTTTTCCTAATAAAACACAGTTTGAACCTAAAGTATAAACTAATGGCCTGGTACAACCACAGATTGATTCTTAACATGAGAAATTAGCCTAAAAAATATGTCACGTTTTCCTTATCTCTTATAATTTTGTCAAAAAGTACATTGAAAGTAGACAATCCATGGCAATCATTTGTGTCAAGCTTTAGTTGTCTAGGTCACACAGTGAACAGTTTACCTGTTGAAAATAAGGACTATCTTTAAATTCAGATGTGTCTGAATCTGTAACCTCATGAGAAGTTAGTCCTCTACGTTCATGAATCTCAGTTAAGACTTGTCAAAGCGTTTCTTCATTTTTTCAGCGTTCCTTACGTGTTCAGAGAATTAAGCTTTAATTGAATAGTGTGGTTTCACAGAAAGTGAGGAAAAAATGAAACAACTTTTCCTTTTATAGTCTAGGCTAACACAAATACTTTTTAAAGTTCAGGAAATTGGATTCAGTGGTTTGGTAAGCTGCAATATGTGTAGATATGTGTGACTTGCTTAAAATGCTTAGGACTAAGATTATTTTTTTTCTGATTGGGTCCACCATCAGTTTCTTGCTTCACTTGGAGCAGGGTGGGAAAGTGGAGGGGAATGTTGGGGTTGGCAGAAGAGAGACTTGATTGCGACCGCAGTATAAGATTGTGTGCAGCTCTCTTAAAATCAGTAAAGGCTTCTTTTTCCTCAGCGGGCAGGTTATTTGTAGCTTTGTCCTGCTAATGACAGCCCTGAAGATCTGCTTTTAAAATGCGTCATTTGAACAAAGTAGAAATGGTCTATAGATCATTAGCTCTAATCTTTTGGTGCTATTTTTGTAGAGTATTAATGCTGCAAATTTATAAACAAAAGATAAACTTCTGGTTCTTTTCAGCACAACATTTTCACCTTTTGTGGCACTGTGTCAGGCCAGCATGGGCATAACCATTAGAATTATGAAAATCCCCAAGGCAGTGCTAATACCTGATTTAACTGCAAAGACACGTGTCAGCAGCCATATGATTCAGGTTGGCGTCACTACCTTTTAATAGCTATTTTCTTCTTGAGAAATACTGTAGTTCTCTGTATTCGTTGTCCGTGATGGCCAAATTGTGGGAGTTCCGCAGGCTGGCTAGTGTGTAGAGAACACAAGGTGTGAAAAGGGCAATCCTTTGACATCTGCCTCTGTTTCAGATCTGCCGTAAGCTGAATGGAGTCCGTTTCACCTGTTGCAAAAGTGCCAAAGACCGGACATCCATGTCAGTGACGCTGGAGCAGTGCTCCATCTTGAGGGACGAGCATCAGCTTCACAAAGACTTCTTTATTCGGGCGCTGGATTGTATGAGAAGGTATGTGGAGATTTTTGCATGTCCCTTGTGTTCTGAGCTAAGCCAGGTACAGAACAGTCTAAAGGCTTTTGCAGATGCATGATAGGCCCAAGTCCTGATTTGTCAGGGAACTGGCCAGCAGCATGCTAGCTGGTAAGTCACTTTTGCATGCAAGGTCTTTGCAACTACGTGTTTTATCACAAATTAACAGTTTCTGAGATAGAGACATGAAACCTTGTAAGTGTCACTTCGCTGACTGTAGAATTTGACCAAGGTAAATAGCAGTTATTTTAACATTTTTTTAGGCTTTTATAAAGTTTAACATTTTAACAACATTCTATGACTGTATTTTTTAAAAAAAAGAGTTATTTTCTAAGAATATTTTTTAAATGTTTACACATTCATTAAATCATTTGTATAAAATTTAGTCAAATATTGTGAAGGCAAAATACTCATTTGTTACAATGACAGTTTTTATTAGCTCGTGTTATTAAAAAGAACACCCAAGTAGGTTTGGACTGATGGTGGTTGCCACTAATATCTGATAGTCTTTACTGTGCTTAAAAAAAAAAAAAAAAAAAAAAAAAAATATTCTAAATTACAACTATGCAGAAATTGAAGCTGATGTTATCAGGAATGTGTAATTAAAAGATGTAAAGATTTCTGATTATCTGACTCTTTGATGAATTAAAAAAAAACATTGAGCAAACAAGTTTTGATCATAAAATGAATCTAGATGCTATATCCTCTAAAGAAACTTTCCTCATTGGCTTTAATGAGTACTGCATTGTATTTTTCATAAGAGTTTAAAAAAATGTATCTACAACAATCAAATAATTTATAACAAATGTCACTGCAGAACTAATACAATATATTCTGGCCAATCTGCAAAGACGACACTGAATCATATCTTTCACTTATGTGAAACACAAATTGTCTGTATGTTGGATTTTTTAAAGATCATACAAAGTAAATACTCATGTTTAAAGCCTATAATGAAAAAATCTTGATCTTAATATAGGTGTTTAATGTCTAGATTAATACTGTAGGTCCTTTTGTCTTTTAGCAAAGGTAGATTTTCTAAAGAAAAAGGTAATGTTTACAAAGAGTAATTGAGCAGAGGACTGAGATGGCTTCGATGTAGGGTTGGTTTGCAAGGTTCTAGTGTAGTGTGGTGTGTTAAACTGAAGTGTATCATTTTGCAAGTGTCATTAGCTTGCATAAATCCCTTCGTCTCTGGAGTATTTCAGTGAGTGAATGATTTGTGTACAGTCTTTCATAACTACATGTTTTATCATGAATGAAAAATTTGAGTTTTCTGTGTTAAATTTCATTTGTGTTGACATTTCAAATTTTTTTTTAATTTTGTCTCCAATAAGTGCAGAAGCGTGTAAGCTACATTAAATTACCAGATACATACAATCTACTTATATAAAATCATTATTATGTTAGAATAGCATTGGTAAAAGATTGAAAAAGTTTAACTGATATAAGCCTGATTATTACAAAAAAGTGTCCTGATATTTATACAAACTAGCTTGTTAGTACTAAAATGTAGTAGGTTTTTGTAGACTAAAATGTAAGCAGCTTTGAGTGCTTTTGTATCACATAACTGATCTGAAAGTTTAGATTAACTCATTAGTTATATTTGCAGATGACAATAAATTGGAGTCAGAAAAGAATGGTGAAAAGCAAAAAAAATCCGGAAAAAACTTTAAAAATAAATGAGCAGATGGGTATATGAGGTTGAAGCACCATTGGAAATATGTTAATCCTATGTTTTTGCTGTAGTTTTAAACAGAAAAAAAAAGCTTTATCCTGCTAATATTCTGTAAATGGGTTTAAAACAGCCTTGAACTGTTGGATAGAAGGTAATAATTTTGGTTTGGGTTTTGTTTGGGACTTAAAGCAAGAGCCTTGCAAATAGTGGCACTAGCATACAAAATAACCTGTAGCATGCAGATAATAAATAAATGGATCTTTTACCTGTACTAGTTTCTACTAGTTGTATGATACTGTTCACACAACTGGAGGTAAAAAAAAAAAAAAAAAAAGAGCGGCCAACTTTATATCTTTTTTCTCATAAGATGGTGAAAGAAAGCCCCAAACATTCAGAAGAACAAAAAAGTCAGATGGGGACACACAGTACTTAACTCTGTGGTACTCTCGTTGGGAGTTGGTCAGACAGTTTTAAGAGCTATCTTTGGGTGCTTTTTTTTGGTAACTTCGGTGCTACAGACATTCAGCAGGGACTGTTTCTTCCTCCCCGCTGCCCATCTGTTGCTGGAGGAGCTTGTTGAGCAGTGCTGGAAGAGCTGCAGGCTTCCCTCCCTCGCCACCTCTGACTAGGGAGTGTGGCCAGGACCCTCCAGCTGGGCTCTCTTCCTTCAGGCAGATGGAGAAAGGTGAATTGCAAAGAAAGGCAATTGGAGACAGCAAACTGGGAAGGAAAGAACAGCCAGGCAAAAGAGAGAGGGGAAAAAAGGCCCTAATTTCCACAAGAAGAGATATAATGGCGTTTCAACTAAATCTCCTGTATTTTACTTGAGGGAAGTTCAGCAGCTACATTTTTGAGGTTTAGGGGAATGAGGTTAACAGACTTGTTTGGTAGTTGTCATGATGCTTGCCCTTTTATTCTCTCTTTGTATTTGATTACTGTTGCAGCGTGTTATCTGAAATATTATACTGTGCATTTCTAAGTTTTTCACTGACTACTTGTAGAAACTTTTAGAATGATTTTCACATCTAAAAGAACCTCAGTTATTTTAAGATCAGAGAAAAGCTCTGTTTGCCATCTAATTTATAATTTTAGCAATTTTCCCCTGATGAATCTTTTCTAGATCACTTAGTTAAACTCTGTCAATCAAATCCCTTTATACTGATTGCCACAAATCACTTTTAAACCTTTCAAAAGAACAAGTAGACAAGAAAAAAATTCAACATCCAGGATCCTAACAGACTGGATTGATCTTTGAAAGGCTTTTTTCAAGAGTTAACAGTAGGAGATAGAGAGGACTGTGAAACAAAGTGAGTTGTAAAAGTAAATGGCGATTCAAAAGCAGCCTTTATTGGAAATACCATAATTTTGAGGTATGAAAATTATAAAGGTGTCTGTGTAGCTGTAAAGCTTTTTCTTTTCCTGCCAGTGCTGACACAGCTTTGCTGGCTGTTATAAAAGGGAAGCATGTGCTTACGAGTTTGTGCTTTCTTGCCTCCAGAAGTTTGGAGATGCTGGTGGTCTGTGTGCTGCTGCTTTTCAGCTTCTCTGACGTCCCCAGAATTTTGAGCAAACCAGAGGCCATGTCAGATGTTTCGGTGTGTTTGCTTTGATGTACGTTGCACAACGCTATTTGGAAAATACTGCCAGTAGCTTAGTTTGTTACTTAGTTTGTAAGTGGAGAATCAGTGTCTTGTAGTGATAAGCTATATGATGTCTATCGCTTCTTAAAAAAAAAAAAAAAAAAAAGTTGTACAAAAATCCTTCCATTTGTTGTCCCTTTAGCTTATCCAAAATGTGGTAAAAAGATGAAAGGAGTTCAAGCTTTATCACTTACAATATGTAATAGATGGTTTTGTCTTCTGGGTGTAACTCTAGCCATTATGATGCTGAAATTAATGTGTATGTGAAGCAACTATTCCATAAGTAATTCTACATATTATAGTTTCCTTGCTATATGTATGTGACTTCCATTGATCTTAGTGACATGCACAGTGCAGGATGAGGAAAATCAATATATTATTCCCTCTGAGTCAACTGCTTGCAATTCACATCATATTAAAATCATATTTATAATGCTGCCATTTTCAAATCATCATTTTTTGCAATCATCAATATTTTTTTTTATTCTTCCCTTCACCAGTATTTGACTATTTCCTATCATTCAATGTTAACTATATTCCAGTAGAGAGACAAAACTGATTTACCCAAGTTCATTGCGGTATCTGTCACACAATTCTACTTTTCATCTTTAGAGCTGGCCACTGCTTAAGGGAGGTTGGACCCTGGTAGGCAGCACACTGTCAAGCCGTTCTGTAAAAGTACTTTGATTTTTAAATTTTTTTTTTCCTTCTTTCTTTTCTGAACCTATTTAATGTCAGTGTTTCAGTGACAGGACCCCTATTGCAGGCCCTGGGTAGTGTGTAACCTCATCATCTCCTAGCTTTTCACCATGTTTCCAATAAAGCCTCAAAAGTAAAAACAAGCAAATGAGATGACAAATCCACTGTCTGTCACTGAAGCCTCAGGCTTTCAGCCTTATCATAATTCTTAGCAGAGCACAAAACCTGTCAGATATTTCACATTGAATACAAAATTTGACTCAATCTAGGACACACAGTTTTCACCTGAAACAGTAGTCAAGGATATTTCAGATCATTCCGAATAAATTGTTTATCAAAAATCTGCTTGAAGCCCAAATACAAAGAATGAATGGTCTGGGCATCAAGGTATGGGCTTTTGATGTCCCAGTTATGAAGCAAATAGCTCTTTTTTAAAGAGCTGTTTGACGGCACCTTTTCTTAAAGATCATCTTAAAGATGTGTGAGTTGAGAAGGGGAGGGACAGCTGTAATAGCTCTTTAATCGGGGACTTTTCAGTGTTCTGGGTGGAACCCACGGGTCCAGGCTGAGATTGACCTTGGCCATGGAAAAGCCTGTGCAGTGTTGTGATTGCTACATGGACTGGGAAACAGGAGCAAAGGGACAGGATGAGGCATGGGCATCCATGTGCCTTTCTCACACCTCCCAGCTTTCACCCTGCCCCTGCAAGCTTGTGGCAATAGATGCAGCACATGAGGGGTCACACAGAAGAGAAAGCATGTGTTCTTCTCTAACCTTTTCTTTTTCCAGACCATCTGATCTTCATCTCTTTTTTTTTTTTTTTCTGAGAGTATTAGCACAGTGTGAACAAAACTTAAAAGGGAGAGCCTTGCTTCCAAGATAGATTTTTCCATCATTCTATGGATCTGTAGAAGCTTAACATTTATAGTTTGAGGTACAAACTTTAGATGGAAAGATTTACA